TGCTTACACTAGTCAAGGACTTTTTCAGCTTCCCATGCTCTGCCAGGTGCACAAGAAGCTGGGAGGGGGCACAGCCAGGACAGCTGACCCAAACTGGCCCAAGGGCTATTCCATACCATATGATGTCACGCTCAATATAGAAACCGGGGGGAGCTGGCCGGGGAGCAGCGATTGCTGCTCGGGGACGGGCTGGTGGGTGGTGAGCAGCTGCATCACTTGTTTTTACTGTCTTTTGTTCCTCTTTTGTTGTTGTTGTGTTCCTTTTGGCTACATTTTTTTTAATTATTATTATTATTATAGTATTTCAGTTATTAAACTTTTTATCTCAACCCATGAGTTTTCTTACTTTTGCCCTTCCAATTCTCTTCCCCATCCCACTGGGCGGGGGAGGGTGAGCGAGCAGCTGTGTGGTGCTTGGTTGCCGGCTGGGGTTAAACTGCGACAGGTCTTTAATCTGGTATACAAATGGACAAGAAGAATCAGGGATGGGCAGTTACACCCAAATGTTCAGGTTAGAGATGATACTAACAATTTGAAAAACGTTTTGCACCTTAACCCTAGGCTATAAGGAAACTTAACTTTGTAACATAAGGGTAAGTTTATTACTGAATCTGCTCTTACAGTCCCCTGCTTCCTCAGAAAAATTGTCTTAATCATTAAGTATTTCTACTCAGCAGCAGGCTGATGACTCACAGTGGGAATTGTGTAACACCTGCCTGTTTTGGGGAAGGAGTCCCATGTATTGTAACAGCAAAACTTAACAAAAGGTGTTTGGTCCTGATCAGTGACACTAAAAATATGCCAGTATTTGCTAGAAAGCAGGTACTTACTGGCCTGAGGATGCACCTCCACTGTTGTGTAAGGTACTTGTAGCCTTAAAGGAATGCTTTTGAACTTAACAGCTAGCTGGCTCTTTAAACGTAACAGTTTCACACATTAAGAGAATCCAAATAGATTTTTGGTGTGAGTGCTCTTCCTTTTCCCCACAGACACCCTTTGTATTCAAGGAGTTGTTCCCCAACATAGCAAGTTTTTTGTGTGCGCGCACATACATTCCATATGCTTCCTCTAGAAAACCCATGCTTTGAATGTGAGATTTTACCTCACACCGGCCGAGTAGGGTTAGTGTCTGATGTGCTCCAGCTACACACATCTTCCCAGTGACCCAAACCATGCATGTCTTTGATATCTGCTTGCTTACTTAGCAAGTTCTCGTGCACTGTTTTCTTTCTAACTCTAGACAGGAATTTTAGAATACGCTGTTAAGCTTTTTCTGTAGAAAAAGACATGAGGTAGGAAAATCATTCTCTCTTAAGAAAATACATCTTTTGAAAGATGGAAAGAAATGGCACTTCATCAGAATATGTAAGGAAAGGTAGGCCCAAGGCTTAGGATTCATAACTTCAAACTTCATTTTGATCTGATGTTTAGCCTTCAGCAAAAAGTAAAGCCAACAGCATTTAAAGAATTTTTGACAAGCATTTTAAAATTGTCTCTTGATAAGAATGGAAGAATCCCAAGGAACTGATATATGTGCAGTGACAAACACATAGATTTAAGGAATGTTAAGATTTGCAGGGGAGAAAAAAATGGAATTTGTAGAATTGAATTAATTTTATTTATAGAATTTAATCAAGCTAACTCTAAATAGTCAGTCTTTGACCCTTGATGGATTTGACTCTGTCTCAAATCTCTTGAGGAATGCTAGGCGATACTTTATCTATTTTCCTCCTTGCCATTTGTGCTGGAAAATGAAATGCATCAGAGTTTTAGATTCCTCTATATTGTGATAGTAGTGGATATACATGTGGTAAGATATGTTTATAAAACTCTTTAATAGACTGTTTGCATACTAATCCTTGTAAAATTATGGAACCATCTCACCTGTTTGTGTCCATCATCTTGCACTGAGTTTAGATTATAACTTCTTCAGGTCAGAGCACAGCTGACTTTTTATAAAGATCCTGTAGGCTGTTACCCAGCGTGGAAAGGGCTTCCTCCCCCTGCTACCCCCCAAGCCAGTCAGGAAAGGATGGGATCTTCATTGAGGACTGGTTTTGTCTGGCCTCAATCATACAATATAATATTTTCAACTTAAACTTTCTTGTACAGTATGCAATTTTTGGAAGCCCCTTTCCAGTAAACCATATATTATGGTTTAGTCCCAGCCAGCAACTAAGCACCACGCAGCTGCTCACTCACTGCCCCTACCCCGATGGGATGGGGGAGAGAATCGGAGGAGTAAGAGTGAGAAACACTCCTGGGTTGAGATAAGAACAGTTTAATAATTGAAATAAAGTAAAATAATAATAATAACAACAACAACAACAACATCATACAGAGCAAGTGATGCACAATGCAATTGCTCCCCACCCGCCGACCGATGCCCAGACAGTTCCTGAGCAGCGATCGCTGCTCCCCAGCCAACCCCCCCAGTTTCTATACTGCCCATGACGTCATATGGTATGGAATAGCCCTTGGGGCAGTTGGGATCAACTCTTCTGGCTGTGCCCCCTCCCAGCTTCTTGTGCACCTGGCAGAGCATGGGAAGCTGAAAAGTCCTTGACTGGCATAAGCAGCACTGAGCAACAACTAAACCATCAGCGTGTTATCAACATTCTTCTCCTACTAAATCCAAACCACAGCACTATGCCTGCTACTGGGAAGAAAATTAACTCTATTCCAGCCAAAACCAGGACACCATAGAAGCCTTTAGACTTGCAATTGTTTCCTTAAACATGTCTTCTTAAAACTGGGGTAGTGGTTGTTTGTCTTCTCTTCTGCATTCAAGTAGTTGGTTTGATAAAAACAGAGCTTGGAAAACTTCAGACCAGGGCTGAATATTTTCAAAAGATCAGCATTTTGAAAGTAAGTTCAAAATGGATTTTTTTCGTTTGTCCACTTAACAGCCTAAGGCTAAGAATTCATCATTATTACTTCTGAAATTTTTCTCTTCTCCTTCCAGACTGACATAATTGACCACAGTTTTGCAGTAGAATGGATGCAGGACTTTGAGACTTTTCAGGATGCCCTGAGTCAGGAGACATCCTATGTCAGTAACCTGACTCGTTCTATGAGTTTAGTGTTGGATGAATTTTACAGTTCACTGAAGGTAAGAATCTTCCTTTTTTTACTACCGTTTTTTTACTACCTCTCATAAAAGCCTGGAGAAGAGAAAGCTCAAGGAGGATATTACTGATGTGTATAAATACCTGATGGGAAGATGTAAGGAAGACAGAAACACGCTCTTTTCAGTGGTGCCCAGTGAATGGACAAGAGGCAATAGACGTGAAGTGAAATACAGATGCTATGTTTAAACAGAAGAGGAAAAAAAGAATTACTATACTTTTACTGATTAAGCCCTAGAACAGATGGTCCAGAGAAATTGTGGAGGCTCTATCCTTGGAGATACTCAAAACACACTGAGACAAGATCTTGAGCAACCTGTTCTAGTTAATATTGCTTTTTGAGCAGGAGAGGTTGGACTAGATGATCTCCAGAGGTATCTTCCAACCTCAACCATTCTGTCCTTCTGTAAAAGGGCTTTGCACTGCCCTTTTGAACTGGAATCTGTTGATTAGCCTTGCATCGGGGGCGAGGATTTGCTGGTTTGAACATAAAGTAACTTTAGTTGCTTGTCACACTGAGTGGCAGCCCGAATCATTTAATACCGAATTGTGATTAATCATCAGAAGAAAGCTAAGATAGGCTGGTAAGGGGTAATGTTCTGTGTTGCAGTGTCTCCCATCTGCGATAATTTTCCTTGTTCTGAAAGTGTCAAGTACAGTTGGGCAATTTACTATGTAGGAAGAAGGGAAAGAATCTCAAAAACAAACAAAAAAAATCCCTGTATATTTGCTGACACAAGAAAAAGTGGGGGGTTTTTTCTACTTACCAGGTTTTGAGAGGAGGACAAATCCATTGTTTCTCTGAAAACAATGTATATACATTGGAGGATGTTCATGATCCCATAGTCTGTGCTAAAAGGGTTCAGCTAATCGTGTTTTTCATTAGCTTTTACTTAAGAAAAAGAAAGCAAATGTCTTTATGGATATTACAAGAAAGGCAATGAAAATAAATAAGTGATTCCATTCATATAGATAATGATAATTTAGCCAAAACAAAAATATTATAAGTGCCCTATGTGGAACAATACACGGTGTTTCAAAACAGATTGTAGTGGTGCCATGTACAGGACTAAAGTACTTCCTAGTCCTTATTTGCTAGTCAGCTGTTTGTATGCATGTGATATCTATTAGAATGGACTGGAGAGCAGGACATATGCAGAGGATTATAGAGTAGAAGGCAGCTTTTACTTAAGTGCAATGAAAGTATAAATATTAATATGTATCAGCACAGTGCCTAGACTAATGCTTAAAATCCTTTGGAATGCTTGACCGTCTGCATATTTACTGTACTATTGATAAAATGCAAGTCTGTGTTGGAAAAAGTCTTACATTTGAAAGTGAGTAGTTAAGACTGTCTTGATTATGAAAAAGAGGGAGAATTTTCATTAGAGGATGTTAAGATTCTTAAGGGTCACCAAGTACTGGCTAGTAATAGTCTTAACTAAAGGTATTTTTAGATAATTGATTTAATAAAAGCAGAACAAATGGCCAGAAGTGTAATGACAGACAAATTTGAATTAGAAAGCAGATGTGCATTTTGAATGTATTGCCATAGTAACTGATTAAAATCAATTCTCCATCTCTTGCTGTTCTGGGGGTTGGATTGGGTTCCTTTGAAAATGTGCTTCAGCTAAATACGAAGTATTAGACAGAATTTCAGAGGCAAAAGGTCGGTTCTTGTGGTCTATTTTGCTCTTTAATTCTAGTACGCTGATATTGCAGCAGCCATATGAACCACTTGTAATACTAGGTTCAGAATGAGAACTTGGATTATTAACAGTAACCAAGTAATCAGAAGAAAGACTTGATCTTTCTTTTGAATTGCCCTCTCTTCATTATGTTCATTATGTTTAGGCATTGTATTGTATATGTTTTTTGTGGGGTATTGAGATTGGAGGTACAAGGATGGGTGCAGAGTCAGGTTTTCTTTTTTCTTAACTGTTGCTTCCCCCACCCCGTGGTAAAATTTGGAAAACAGACAGGAAAACCCAGATTCCCAAGTTAAATAAGAGAGAGAGAGAAAGAAAGAAAGAAAACAAAACAAAACAAAAAACCCCCAACTAAAAACCGGAGGTGGCAAACATTAACAGCAGGTGGAGGAAGAGGTTGAAAGTAGGAATGGCAGAAGCTGAAGTATTACTGCATACTGTTATGCCACTGTGATGATTAAATGGGTATCATTAGATTCCCCTATTTTTTTTAGTTTAGGTTTGTTTTTTGGGGGGGGGGTTGTTTTTTTTTTTTAAAAGATACTGCTTAGTCTTTCCAGCTCTGATCATCCATCAGTTACCTAAATACTTGGTTCAGTTACTCTTCAGTTCTGGTATATGGTTTTCTTTTATAGGTGGTTGGCGTGTCTGCTGTGCTCGGCACAGGACTGGATGATTTTTTTGTTCAGCTTTCTAAAGCTGTAGATGAATATGAGAGGTAAGGTGATAACTTTGGTCCCTGACCCAGTGAATACTTGTTGAAGTTACTGATTCATGAGCCCACTCCTTTGATTTGAAGGACTGTTCACTTGTCACAGCCAAGATTATCTAGGGTTTCTAATAAACTTAGGTGCAAGAGCCAGCATAAAAAGGAGCGGTCAAAAGGAACTATTCGGTGGCAAATTTTTGTGCTAATTGTTCAGTGAAAAAGTAAAAGCTATCTGTGCCAGCATATCTGTGAAGTATTTTTTTTCCTCTGATTCCATACAATGATCAAGGTTTGAATTGTCCTGAGGAAGCTAACAGATAGGTTTGGCAGACTGAATAGATGAGCAAGTTGAAATTCAATAATTCTTTGAGAATTTGCTCCTTACTGGATTCCTCCCCATGAGATACTGCCAGGCTGCTCTAGAACATTAGAAAGCAAATCCAGTAACTTGGATTACTTGGAAATACCTAAACCAGACGATAGATTGTTGTTAGAGGAAAACAGATCATGCTGGATTGGATAGCCGGAGAGAGGCTGCTAAAGCTTCATGCTCCCAGGTCTGATTAGTCTGGCCTGGTCATGCCCCAAGGTCTGCATACTGCCTCATTCTGCTTGCATGCAAATAGACTCTTTTATTGCCTTATCCCTTTTTCCCACACTTGTTTCTCCCCAAATCTCCTAAATCCCTCCCTTTTCCTACCTTTGGCTCCTCCCCTAAACATGCCATAATAAATCCTGTGCTATTCCCTGCTCTTTCCCTGCATCCCATAACGTGTGCTGCACCCCTAGGCAGCCATCCTTCTGCGCTCTCAAGGTGATCCAGAGAGCTTCCGACGAGGCTCGGTGATGGCTCTCACGCCTCGACCATGGGGCTGATGGTGCTCCCAGGACAACCCTGGGAGGAGCCGGGCTAGGGTAGCCCTTCCTCCGAGTCCTTAATTTGGATTCCCTGCCTGCCACCGTGCCCCTGTGTTCCTCTGGGCTTGTTGAGATGGGTCTTTGATGCTTTGATGGCTCTTCTGTGACTGGCCTGGGAGTATGTGGGCAGGGTATTATTTGTGCTTCCCCTCCCCGCCGAATGTGTGTCTGTGCTTTTTGGAGGTGCTGAGGAGTTTTACCACATAACCTAACAATTATTCTGGGATACGCTGCCTGCATAATGAAACCCTAGTTAAGGGTTTCATGTAAGCCACTGATGTGCGCTTGCAGCCCAGAAAGCCGATCGTATCCTGAGCTGCATCAAAAGAAGCATGGCCAGCAGGTCGAGGGAGGTGAATCTCCCTTTATACCCTGCTCTCACGGTACCCCACCTGGAGCACTGTGTCCAGCTCTGGGGCCCATGGTACAAGAAGGACACGGACCTGTTAGAGCGGGTCCAGAGAAGGGCCGCAAAAATGATCAGAGGGCTGGAACGCTTCTGCTGTGAAGAAAGGCTGAGAGAGTTGGGGTTGTTCAGCCTGGAGAAGGGAAGGCTTCGGGGACACCTTATTGCGGCCTTTCAGTATATAAAGGGGGCCTATAAGAGAGACAGAGAGACTTTTTGATAGGGCCTATAGTGACAGGACAAGCAGCAACGGTTTTAAACTGAAAGAGGGTAGGTTTAGATTGGACATAAGGAAGAAATTTCTGACGATGAGGATGGTGAGACATTGGAGCAGGTTGCCCAGAGAAGCTGCGGATGCCCCATCATTGGAAGTGTTCAGGGTCAAGCTGGGACAGGGCTTTGAGCAACCTGATCTAGTGAAAGATGTCCCTGTCTGTGCAAGGGAGGTTAGACCAGATGATCTTTAAAGGTCCCTTCCAACCTAAACCATTCCATGATTCTAAGACGAGGGTATCCACATCCACTTTATCCTTACTTCATTAAAGAAATATTTCAAAGGTCCCATAGTGGTACAATAGTTTGGAAGTCTGTGAACAGTGTGTATGAGATCCCATTGAACTGTCTTAAGAGGCACAAGTAAGAAAGTCATGTCTGTGTCTAGAGGAGAGTGATGAATCTGCTGATTAGGTATAGCAGTGAAATGGCTACCTCAGTTAAGCTGTTTTAATTTCTTATCCAACAAGACAGTGTGAGAAAGGTTTGCTATTCTAATGAAGTATGTTCACTTATTCTGCATCCCTTGGTTTCAGAATCCAAATCTGGGTAAAAAGTACCATTAGTCTTTCTGAAATGTCTCTCAAACATGAAAGCCTAGAGAAAAATTTTTTGGGTAGAAACAAGCCTCCAAGATGATCCTTACTTAACATACCTCATGTATTAGTTCAGACTGAATGCACTGTCCTTATTTATCTTTTCAGAGAATATCGTCCAGAATACGAGCGCCTGAGAAAAACACTGGTAAGTATTTTTAACTGTTGTATATCTGGGCAGTGTATCTTGGGGTCACTTCTATACACACAATTGCCTGTATGTTGGGAGGGTCTAACATTTTATTTACTAATCATACTCAGTGTGGAAAAACTCCTGTCCTGAAGCTCACCATCCGTCTTTTTTTCCTATATTTGGTGGAGCATATCTTCACAAAAATAAAGATGTTTTGTAAAACGGATGTTGCTCAGTGTTGTAGTGCTAATAATTTATTTGTGCAAATTGTGAGAGAATGATTGGGAAAGATTTTTATATCTTCCATTCAGAAGGATAGAGAATTTTTAAAAAATAACTTTCCAAAGTGATTTGTTGAGACTATCACTGTATCTTTCCGCACCAGTGAAGTACTGTTTTGACTGAGACAATTAATAATGAAGACTGAATTGCAGTACCAAAATCAGTAGCTCTGTTCACCTTGAGTTCTGGCTGTCCAATGGACAGTTCTCTGCAGGCACAATTTCACTGAGTTTGGCTTTCTGATGCTGATGAAAATGTTCTTGAAGTCCATCATGCTAGAGGTTGCTTTCCATGTTTATCCAGAAGTTCTGTGTAGCTTTAGTTGTGAGACCTGCTTATTAACTTCTGCTTTCTGGGTGGGGGACCGAATGCTAGTATTGGGTGAGATTACTCTTTTACTGATGTTTTAAATGAACTCAGAATCCACATGTAACTTTGTACCTACAGGAGAAAGCTCAAAACAAACAAAAGAGAGAGCAGCTGGAACACTTGTGGAAGGACATGGGCAGTGTGTGTGTGCAGGGCAACACACTTGCAGGTACCTTACTAGGAAGATTAAGTTTACTGCAGAAGTTGTCTGAAGAGTCTGCCTGGAGAAGTCGTATAGTGCTTTTCTGTCTTCACAGCAAAAGCGTGAAAGCAGCTTTATATTAGTAGAGTGGGGCTTTAGTTCCTGTGGAATGGGTCAGACTTGGCTCTTTTATGTGTCAGTCACAGACTTGAGAAGAAGAAACCTTGCTCTGTAGATAAAGCAGTGGACATATAAGAAGTAGTGAAATACTTTAGAAAGGTGAAACAGTCAAATTAGAATACGAGAAAGCTCGGCTGGTGGTTGCACTGTTGCCTTATATGAGGTTGAGTATGGTGCTGATACAGTCTGTCCTGTATCTTTGGAATCCAGAAGCAGCTTTCTGTCCCTTTAGAGTAGGTATTACTTGCTGGGTTTATGTGCAAATAGAAATTGTCAGGGCACAAGCTAACTTGTTAGCATGCTCTTTTGTGTATAGCCATTTCTGTTCCCTTCAAGGGTCTGATGATGCTTCTGCAATGGGTCCCTCTGAGCTGATCCTAACACGAGGAACTCCTGATGAAGAAGAAGAGAGGGAGAGTGATACTGATGATATTGACCATGAAGGTAAGGGAATGAGGGATCTGATCTGGTCTAAAAGCTGCCTGTCTAGTCAGGAAACACCCTCTGTATTTCATTAACTGGATTGACTAATGAGAGCCTAGAAAACAAGCAAACATTCAGTCACCTAAATATGGATGTATGAATCTGTAGGAGAAGCCCAGCTGCAATGCTTAGTCCAGTGATACCACTCTCTAATCTTTGTGAAAGGTCAATTGTAAATTTTCTAGTCAATTAATTATTTTTAATAGGTGTATAACACGCATAAACCAGACAACTTGATATGCTTGGAGCATGCAGTGACCTCTGAACCTGATTAATGCACAATATGTTTCATCGTCTTTTTTGCCTTAACAGTTTCTGCCCCTGGCTCTCTTCCCTTTTCCTGTGACTCCTGGTCTTGGAGCAATCTTCTAAGTTCTTACAGAGTGTGATTTCCACTCCACCCCCCCCCC